TGTAGGATATTTAGTTTCAAACTTTTACTTGCATTGTAGGTATTATGAACATGGCAGGGGCTATTCCAGGTAAGTCTTGACCTTTACTTTGATTTAATGTTTTGAAAATTGACATTGTGTTTTTATAGATTTAAATAAATACGGTATGTAAAATGTAGTATATCACAACAAAAACGTGTTTACCAGGGTATCATCGTCTGAATTAATTCCTTTGTCCTATTTGTTCAACTTGTTTTATACTGTATAAGACAAATACAATTAGACCAATATATATATAAATGAATGAAAATACATTGTTTCTCAAGAATATTTGCAGTTTAGTTTTGTGAACTTCAATAAAATATTGCGGTTCTTGTCAGATATTTATGAGAAACAAACAAAAGAAAAAAAAACAGAGTGTTGTGTATTATCTTTATTTCATTTCAGGTTTTGTAGGAGTATATATGGCAGGTCACATTTTAAAGGCCACCAATAGCTGGGCAGCAGTATTCAACCAGACAGCTGGTGTTTGTATTTTTGGCTGTATTGTTTACTTAGAATATAGCAAAGTACTCTCGACCAATGAAATTGTAGGATTGGATGCCTCTTAATTGTGAAGAATGAATGTAAATCATGTTCTTAGTAAGGGATTATCATATTATTGGGGTCTATTTACAGTTCAAAACAAAGAGTTTCTATAAATGAGTTACAACTGCCCAGAAGCACATTTATCAGATTGAAAGGATTTATCACACAGTGATTGAAACTGACTAAAAGTTGAATTTTTAAACAAACAAAAATCTCAAAATAAGTTGAAGTTTACTGGTAAATTGTAAAAAGTAAATTGGTACCGTAAATTTTATTATGAAAATATTAATAACTTCAAATTACTATAAAATTAAACAATACCAAAGCAATGCAAAAAAAAAGAAAAAAATCTCTCAGATAAAAAATAACCTAAATCTTTAGCTTTCCAAAACTTTGATTACTTGATCAGCGGTTGGGGAGAATAGTTATTTCCAATACATGTATTCCGATAAAAAAAACCAGGAATTTTATTTTGAACATATTAAAAACTTTTAAGGGCATTATTTTTGAACATTTCCCTGACATAATGAAACAGTATTTGATGTAAAAAGCCGGATCAAATTATTGGCTGTGAAATAAAATTTAGTTGTAACTCAAATGTATTAATTGATATAAACTGTAAATAAAAAAAAGATAATTCCTCACTAAAATATTACATGATTTACATTCATACTCACAATCAGGAAACATACAATTCCTACCTTTTCTTTCTACTGTTGTGTCACCTAATATCTATAACGCATTTAAAAAAAAAAAAATTCCCAAATGATAAGAAAGTCCTCACATCACTAAAACTAATCCATAAATGACATGCCGAAAAAGGAAGTCATGCATCAATTATAAACATTGCACTGACAATGAAACTAATTCTTGAATAGATCATTTGAGCCTTGAGCACTTTACAATATTCTAAGTTTGTAAGAGAATGATAATCCCTTACTTCATGATAAGTACTCGCTAACGCTCGTACTTATTCACGAAGAAAGGGATTATCATTCTCTTACATATACTTACTATTCGGGACAGTAAAACGGATAATATGAATTGATAATTAGTTTGTTGTAATTTAATTAATCAAATATTTAACAACAACAACAACAATACTTTATTTTAAGAGGGTTACACAGTTAGCTATAATAACTAATCTTCCCTGAGGCCCTCATCATAGAAAAGGTATAAACAGAGACTTTATTATATGTCTCTGGTATAAACAATAAATGCAAACATATAGTACATGGCATACATTAGTGTGAAAGTCAAGTATAATGATAATGTTAAATCAATCTAATTAAAATATAGAACTCGGATTTCGTTATACGTCGTATGCAGTATAAGGAAATCCGAGTTCTATATTTTAATTAGATTGTCATTTCAACCATCTTAGGCAGTGGAAAGTGGTAGTATTACAATTGCATATCCATACATGTTTCCATTTTCCAACCAAATGTTTTAGTTTTAATCGTACAGTAACATGTGTCCATTCTTTAATTTGAGTTTTTATAAATTATACATGAAACATTTGGAAAATTATGCGCTTTTTTCTAAGGGGCTTATATCTGGGGGATTTTTACTTGTTCTCGCAATTCAATTTACTAAAAGTTGTATATGAAATCAATAACTTTTTTTTTCATGCTGTTAATTTTTGTATCATGAGTTGTTACTCTTGGTAAAGTTGAAAATAGTTTAATTTGGAAAGATGGAATATTTTGAATAACTTCAATTTAATTTCATTTTATCATTTTAACATGCTAGAAAATTATGAAAAAAATAAGTGGACCTCTGGATTATATTGCAAATGCACTGTTGGACAAGAAATGTTCTTAAAGAAGTATGTCAAACTATTACCTCACATTTCATCATTTTTCAAATAAACTGAAAAAACTATCTCTGGTTCCTAAAGATGCTGTTTTTATTTCATTATTACGGTGCAAATTTGAATGTTTATTTAACTGCTATATATATATATATATATATATATATGTATGCAGTAATGTGCTATATACATGTGATATTCCTAAAACAGAAAGTGAGTCCTTCAATAGTATACACCTCAAATTATTATTCTCAGTGGCCTTGAAGTTTATATTGAATTTCAATGTCCCCCCTTTTGCAGATTTTCATTAGATATTCAGTTAGCAAGTTTAATAGCATTTCATTTCTTTTCTTTTCTTTTTTCAAATTTATACTGAACTTTTATTATTAAATAAATGAAATGATGTAATAAAAAAATGTATTTTAACATCAGTATTCAGTTCATTTTTTCCAATGTTTATAGTATTTATTCTGTCCAGATAGAAGACAATTTAATGGAAATGTAAAAAAAAAAACATGAAGCAAGTTAACTGGTCTTATAAACTATCTCGTGTTTTGCTGTAGAAACTTGGCATCTACTTTGACCAAATTTTGTTTGAGTAAAGTTTATTTGCCGCAATAAACACAATCATTGAAATATGACAAAACGTTGACCATATAGTCAACCCCATCCAATGTATCCTGAAGTTGATTTTTAAAAAAATGGTTTTATTTACTTGTACATAGACATATATGATTTAACAAAAAATGGAGCTGCTATCAGGAATGCTGTCTTCCTATTTCCTACCAGATTTATAACTTGTTTTCTTACATATATCAAAATTCTTACAGTGTTTACCTTTGAGTTGTACATGTAAAATGTTGCTAAAATTTACATAGATGCTAAAATTTACATAACATTCGTAATCATAAAGAGTTACATGGTTTTTAAAAAAAATTATTATCGAATTTTGTAAATATATAAATATTTAAAGCATTTAATTGCCGCAATAGTATAAATCTTTTATTTTCTCTTCCGTAAGTCTGCGTCGGTCTCCAGTTTTCCTTGCGGCTATAAGAGTGTTTTTCTTAGATAAACAAATATACAACAAGGGTTATTCCCTTTTAAATTTGCACCCACCAACCGCGAGTCCTTGTGATCATGGTATATAGTAACACAAGTGTTTGAAATTAATGGTATGGGATACACACCCGTGTGTGACACAAGAGGTTCTAAAACAGAAGAATAAGTTTAACCATCCTCTATGTTTCTTATTTCCAGTCTATTTTATCAAATTATTACCACAGGCAATTATCTCAAAAATAAACATAATACATTAATATTAAGGTATATATGATTTTTTTCAGAGATAAAAGCCTGTGATTATTACCACAAGATTTGTCATGACATTTATTATTATCAATGTAAGATATCCACAGTGACACAATCCAAGGATTTTATATAAAGTCCTCGCATAATCTAATAAGAATTAGTTCTCTGCACCTACTCCTCGTTTTTCTCGGTTGTTTATACAATACAATACAGTAAGCATAAACGATTTATTTAAAGTCGGGTATACGTATATATATACATACAGGGACTGTAACAATACAACTTCAGCTCTGTAGAGCTTTTAACCGACATACATATATGATAAACACAAGACATAAAACATAAAACATATAAAACAAAAAGCACATCATGCATAGCATAGATATCAGTAGCAAAGCACAGCAAATTATAGCAAATAATTAGCAAAGCATAGCATATAAAAGCAAACATAAAATGTAGATAAACCGTGACATTCATGCAGAAACTAATAAGCACGAAAAGAATGTGAAGCATATTCATCAAGTTTGTGCCATAGTTTGGTTACTGTATATCTGAATGAGTGCAGACCATGCATAAGTGTTTGTCCTTACCGTTGGAATATCAACTGTATTGTCACGAGTCATATCTGAAAGAGTAACTACAGTTTTAAATTTCGATATGATCATGTAATTTTGTATACCAGTCTATTGCTATCATTCTAATTCTTTTAAGTTTTTAAACTCGGTAATTTTTATTTAGTTAAAAGTTGTTAGTATGTGCTACAATAATCTTCATAAACAACGTTTATGGCACATTCCTGTATTTTCTCAATTTTTTTAGTATAAAAATCACCACAAAATGCCACATTTTTGGGCTGTAATAACAATTTTACATAAATGAATAGTAAAATAGTAAGTCTACGTAAAAGAATGTGAATAATCAAATCAAATCAAATAATTTTATTGGTGTAAATTCCAATACAGGAATGGGGGTCAGGAATGATACCAGCTGACATTTACAAAACAAAATACAAATACAAAAACAGACAAAAATAAACAAAAAACAAATATACAGAGATATGTTTTCTCAGTGATAAGAGACACATATTTTATATCTACATATGTGAATATGAAAAGTATCATCGTCAGCATAATTATATAATGAGCTACTTGACACAATGTGAAAAAATATTCAAGAAAATTTTAAAAAGTGGGTTTCTATTATAAAGCAGCCAATAGTTCTCGGAAAAAAATACAACACCAATCCGTCATAAATTTGCTATTAATAGCAAGTCGGGTAAACGTTTGAGAGAAACAGGAAGTATGAATAAAGCATCTAAAAGATAACAGTTCATTAAAATTTCTGATTTTTTTATTGAGAAATGATGACGTGACGGCAAGAACAACACTAACAATAGCAAAATGATGACAATCATTGACAAGAAAAATGATGGAAAGCCTGTTGAAGGCAAATTCTGGACAAGGTAGGATAAAAAAGATGCAAAATATACCTAGGGGACAATAAAAATATAAATCACAAGTTGCTTTTTAAAAAAAAAGAAGACAATACGTGAACCTTAGAACTTTTTTATTCTAATTAAACTGAATAAGAAATTATATATCAGTGTTATCTTGGCCATGTGTGTGGAGGATAATATTTTCTTTTTGTTGCAAATCATTACAATTTTGGCATGTTGAGAGAAGTGTTAAATATAAAGCAAGGAGAGAGAGAAAAAGATTCCCAGACGTATAATTTCCTAAAGAATAATAATAATTCAAAACATAGAGGACACATGTACCTTCTTCCAAAAATTCATAAAATTAATCTAGAAATAAGTAATGAGGCATTACGAAATGGTCAGCGAGCAGGACACATTAATGCTCGTTACCGACCAATCATCAATAAGTGTAACTCTCCCGCGAGAGATACTTACTTGATCTAATCATATGAATATAAAAAAGAAGATGTGGTATGATTGCCAATGAGACAACTCTCCACAAGAGACCAAATGACACAGAAATTAACAACTATAGGTCACCATACGGCCTTCAACAATGAGCAAAGGCCATACCGCATAGTCAGCTATAAAAGGCCCCGAAATGACAAATGTAAAACAATTCAAAAGAGAAAACTTATGGCCTAATTTATGTACAAAAAATGAACGAAAAACATCAACAAACGACAACCACTGAATTATAGGCTCCTGACTTGGTATAGGCACATACACACCGAATGTGGCGGGGTTAAACATGTTAGCGGGATCGCAACCCTCCCCTAACCTGGGACAGTGGTGTAACAGTACAACATAAGAACGAACTATAAAAATCAGTTGAAAAAGGCTTAACTCATCAGATGGATACAAACAGAAATACTACACAGAGTGGACGTGGCCGGGTACTTGTATATCCAAACAACAAATAGACACTAAGTACAGATCTGAGAGTACTCGCAGTTACTGACAGCTAGTTCAAAGCCACTAACAACTAATTAAAAAAAATCATGCATCTAAGACTAAATTATTAATTAGTACACTGTCACATCCAACATCCAATTATTGAAGAGGCATAACTTGTACATTCAAGATACAAAAAATTTCATTAATAAAATAGAGTCACACGAGGTAAAAAAGTATGCATTCTTATTGCCTATGATGTACGTCAATGTACACAAATATGATCATTGGTAATTTAGATTGATTGATTGTTGGTTGCTTAACGTCCAGTGGCAAATATTTCATGCATATTCAGGACGAGAACTGGTAATTTAGAAGAAACTGTTATCAATGCATTAGTATTTATTGACACATAGGAGAATATAAAATAGATTTAACTGCATTTGTTAAATTAATAATGAATTTGAGTTTAATGAATTGTTATACAAACACATTATAGGCGTGCCCATTGTCACCAACATGCACAGATCTGCATCTGTCTGCCCTATTCATTAAAATCTTAGATATATAAGTTCCAATGGAGAGAAAACATCAAATTACACTGTCAATAGGGATGACGGTTTTATGGTCTTCACAGGCAAATTAGAGCAAGTTGAAGATTTCTTTAACCTTGCAAACGAAATTGACCACCTACTTAAGTTCTAATATGAGGTGTCGACATCTAGTATGGCCTATTTAGAGGGTGGTAAAGGGTTATTTTCGTGCAACGTTTTCTGCCTTTTTTATTTCACGTGTTTCAATGTTTCGACGTTTTATTTCTCGTTTTCTCGTGTTTGGTTCGATGTGCGTGCTTCGTGTTTTCCCTTAATTATTTTCCGTGTTTCGTGTCGGTACTCTTATTTTCTCGTGCTTGTACCACATTTGATTAAAAAGTAAACCGGGACTAATTCAAAGTCAGCCCAAATATTGTTTTAAATTATAAACTAATAAACTGGTCCCAAGATATTTATTGATAGCCTATTGTTTTTCCTATGATAAATCGAATACAACTAACGGACACTAAAAGGTGACCACATGCAGGGTCGCCATGTCCATTTATAATGACTGCATGATCTCCAAGAAGGGCTGAGTAATAACTTTTGGTACTTTTTTCCTTAATATTTACGATTTTATTCCTTGGCTTCGTTTTTCCAGAGTGTTTTTTTTTCGTGTAACGTTTTTGCGATTTGTTATTTCACGTGTTTCCGTGTTCAGACCCTCCCTTTTACCACCCTCTATTTAGATACCGAAGTGTACAAAAGTGAACAATTCCGTAATAATGGAATTCTTGATGTTAAGTCACATATATTAAAAACACAAAAACGTATCAATATTTACCAATCACTAGTGCACATGCAAAACTCACATAAATTTAAGAGCATTACAGTGTGTGAATAATATAAGAAGTTTCTACTTCTACCACTAAGTGACCACCGTCATTTGGTTGACTATCCTGTCACTGTTTGGTGTGCGCTTGCATACTTAGCAAGTCAAAGAATAATTTTAACAGAAAGGAAATAATTTGTGCTGTACAGAACATTTATACATGGTGCAAATAAAAACATGGGAATTGAGATTTAATGTGCATGCAGTAGTCTCTTGAACGAGTCAAGATTTTCTGCAGTGGTCACTGAAATAATAGTGACATCAATGGATTAAATAAACATTTAATTAACTTACAAGATAACTTAATTGATAGAGAATACTGTAAAAAGGAAACAGTAAAAGTTGTAAAAATGTATATTAACGAACAGTCTTTATTTTACTTGTTTTATTTCCATTTGAAACAGATTTTTTTTATCTGATTTGTCAAAATGACAAGTGTGCATAATGATTTTATTGTTACAAATCAAATCCCAAAGCCCACTATAACTCATTATGTAGAAACCACAGCACTATTTTAAATATCTCTCTGTGAATATCTAGACACAGATGTTTGATACCATAGGTGTTATAATTAAATCTTGACCATTTAACTTTCACTTGTTTATCAAAGGGTACAACTGTCAACTTTGCTCAAGTCAGAAAACCCTTGCAATGCATAAAATGTAGCTTTACAATAAATATACATGTTTGATTGTTTATTATCAATATATCAGATAAGTGAATTAGCGATCTGTGAAAATTCTTTATTGCCATGTTTTAAATATCTTAGATACACCGTATGGCGGTGCTCTTAATTGCAGGAAGCTAATACAGATAAGATGAATAGGTGTTCCGAATGAACAATAATTTAGCTTCGGAATATTCCTCCATAGACTATATTTCTAACTAATAAATATGCGTGAACCCACAGGGGTTCACGCAATAAGTTGACAAAAGAGAGACAATATCATGCCCCCCCCCCCCCCCCCCCCCCCCCCCCCCCAAAAAAAAATGGCAAAAAGACATAACCGTCTACAAAACACTACTCAGAGAGCTACAGACTGAGTAATACAAACTTCATAAAAACTAAGGCTTGTCTCAGACTCAGTACAGGTAGGGTGATATAAAAATAAAGAAGAAGTCCACTTGGTAGAATTGCCCATGTCAGAGACAACTCTTAGCATATCTTTCCTTTTTTATATGCTTCCAATCGACAATGGAAGCATAAATGGTTGAAGTGTCCATTTGGGTCTATTTGTTATGGTACTCTTATCCCAAACAAAAAGCTTCAGTATCATGGCGAAAAACTTCTTTCCGTTTTCATAACATCATAAAGAAGCACAGAACAATTTCCAGGCAAATTTGTACACTTGGCTTTTACCAAGTGGTCTTTGCATACTTGTTTTAAATACTACATACATGTACTTGTCATTTGCAATGTCAAGTACATTTAAAGTAACTTAGTCAGGTGCTTACCTACTATTAAATGTCCTATGTTTACTCACTAATTTACTGTTCCATAAATCAATGCAATATAACTACATTGAATTTCTCCAATAAGCACATCATGGTACAGGTCTGTTCATTTTGTTAACATAAAGTTTAATGTACAGACTTTCAGAAAGAACAATTACTGGCTAGCATGGGTCACTTTGGACACAAAACAAAAATCAGGTTTAAATTTACAATTCTTGAAAGCTAAATATAGAACAAAAGTATGAAAAATATATAAGTGACAAAAAATAAAGCTGAGCTTAAAGACCGGGGATGACCTAGAAAATTTTACACCCCTACAGCAATTAAGCCTATTTGGATATGGGCGGTGCTAAGATAAAAACAGATTATTTTTAGTGAATTAGCTTATCATGTAAATAGAAGCACATGTTCATAACTGCATGCTGTGATAAGAGAAAATATGAAGAAACTAGTAAAACTTACACACAGATTTTTATCTCATGAAAATCCAATTAATTTATATACAAGATAGAATCACAATGTTACTGTATCCAATAAGTAATATTGAATGTTTCAATGAGGCATAAAGTTAAAATAAAAATGTAAAGGTGCATCCATGAACTGATATTTAAATAAATCAAAATTTTTACATCATAATAAACATGATGAATTAATATTAATTCCTGTCTAATTTTCTCTAATAAAACGAATTTATTTGCCGGGCCCATATACTTTGTCTGTAATTATAAGTTGGAGGCTTATAGTTCTTTTTTCCAATGTTACTTCTTGGGGCATTCCTACGGTTTGGGTTCCAGATCGATGTGAAATCGCGATCAACATTTTCATTCCAATGACAAACTGCCAACTGACTTCTAGCTTGGTAATTGTCATCACTAAAAGCAATCCTTTTATCTTGGAACATGTTCATAGTATTGTTAAAGCTCTCAACATAACACGTATCTTTGGCTAACACATAATCCTCAGGGTGAGTGTAAGTTGTAGATTTCCGTATAACACCTAAGAGAAGTTTTTCGGCAATAGGTATCGTAAGAACTATCCGCTTAGGTTCGTAATTTGTATCACGTTTACATCGTGAATCAGGATGACACTTTTGGTGGTTGTTCTTATAATGTTCCACAATATTTAGCAATACATCCTTTAATTCCTTTGGATTTTCTTCACAATTTCTAACGGCCCAATGAAAATGTGTGGCAACTGATTCCACCTTGTCCTCTAGTTGAGCAGACCAGGACTTTTCTTTTAAATATTTTGGTCCCGCACTACACTCTTTTCATTGCAACTTTTACCTTTTTAATTGCATGCCATGGATCATTCTGATTTGTAATTATTCCTTTGTCTTTTACCAGCTTGTTAATACTTAAGTTTCGGTCATGTGAATGTACATTAACTTGAACATCTTGTTGTTCCAAGTACTGGTATATTCTTTGTGTACCCAATTTTTCATGTCGTTGTGATACAGAGTCATCACATTTTGTAATATGTTCACATTTAAGAACTTTGTGGATTTTTTCTCATATGGCAACAACACTGCTGTCTTTTGCATTTTTACGCCAGCCATGTCGAGCATCCGTCATTATATTAATTCCTGTCAAGTCATCATACATTCCAATTTCTTCTAATACTGCTGACTAGATACTTTCATTGTACTGCTGTTCAATATGATGCTTGTATCTTTGAAACATGTATTGCTGTTTTTGTTTGTTGATATGTCCAATTTTAGCAGCATTAGCAAATCTGTTGTAGTGCACTGGTAACATTCCGCTACAAGTATATCCATGAAATGTCCTCAAGTTTGCAAGGTATTCACCGTTAGGTAAATAAGGAGAAGATGACCATAAAATAGAATGGTGTTTATCAGTGTCACAATTAAAACACACTGCAGCTACATGTCCTTTTGGTGTCAACTTCTTCATACTGAAATGTCCATTGCAAATGGAAGAGTGGTTTTCTACAACTTTGACAATTTTCTGGAGTGATGTTTCAGCCGTTAGGAATAATTTTTGATCGACATCTTTTTTCTGCACCTGAATGTAGGTATTTAAATCTAATGTTGTCATATCAGACTTTGAGGACTGTCCATTATGGTCAAAAAGAAAATAGTCTAAGACCTTCTCTAAGATGTCAGCATTATTTACAGGGTGATTCAGTTGCTTCACAAGTATAGTCCGAACATTTTGTAATTTTGAAAGTATTAATTGCTTTTTACTTTCATCTCCAGGAACAGAAATTTTGAAGCAAGGAGGTCGTTTTGTTTCTTTTTCCATTTTCAATAGCAAGTGAATAATACTAAAAGTAACTGATGCTATATAATATTATACATCTAGAAGATTATCTACATGATCTATATGTAAACAGTTGTGTAATTTGACCCAGTCTTAGAAAATTTTGGACAAATGCAGGGTATTGTTTTATTTATATTTTTTATCTACAAATCCTAGTAATCATATTATGGAAATAATAATTTGACAATTACAGTAAAGCAATGGACATTTTTTATATATTGAATTATAGGGAGTGGGGGCAGAAAGAATTAAACAAATTTATAATAAATCCTTACTAAACATGCATTGCCCTGCATGATAGCCTCCCTCAATTTGGGAGGGTTTTCTGAAGGAGTACTGGACATAACTTTCAAAGCATTACAGAGGCAATGTCTTACAAAAGTATGTTGGATATGTTTAAACATATTCATCATGTCAGTTTTTATCCCATATGTAAAATCTTTTAGTGTAAAACATAAGATAAAATATGAGATCTCTCCTGTAGGTACCTTATTATAATATGAGGTGTGTAAAACACTGGGAATATGATATCCAAGATATTTGGTGCTAAGATTTGGAGGGAAAAAATATTGTTGTTTTATTGATACAGTTTGATAAAAGGTCAAGTCGTGTAAATTAGATATAAAATAAACACTTGATAAAATGGAGAAAATAACACTTCTTGTCACTGAAGAACAAAAGGAAACTATTTACAGTTTATTTGGATATTACAATTGGGATGTAAATTTAGTAGATAGTGACAAAGAGATTGCAAAAGTTACAACTATGTCCACACAAACTAGTGACATTGTACATGAGGAGATAGAAGATGGAATTGATGGAAACCAATTCCTCATAGAACAAGACCAAGAATGTGAGGAATGTCCCTTTTGTTTTTGCAAACCTTGCATTACTAATGAAAACAACAGATAAATGTGGTGGGAAAGTGAACCTCAAGGGAGACACCAAAGAAATCATAGTTTGCGAAAAGAGAAGTACAAATATTTCTGGACAATGATGTTTCACCGTGAAGCTTGGAAGGATGACAGATATTTAATGCGAAAACAAGCTGCTCTTGAAAGAGACCCTAAATTTAAAAATTACACATGGCATAAAAGAGATATTATGCCTAATTGTGTCCTAAAACTAGTAAGAGGGTGGCATCCAAATCCTGAAAATATTACTTATATGGGCCACCTCTGGGAATAGTTACATAAATTTATTATAAGTGACATTTGTTTGGGATATAACATATTTTTAAAACATAAGTTGGCACTATACAGTTTAAAAGACTATCTATATTCCGAAGCTTTGAAAGGATTATATAATTGATTGATCCCTGCAATATGTAAGTAGATTCTCAATTCACAAATGCATGCTTTAGATTATAGATAATAAAGCCACATGTAGCATGCTACTTCCGTTGTAAACATAAACAGAAAGTTGTTGTCATGGATATCTCCTCCTACTTGTCAATCACAGGAATTTGAATTTGAAAAATAGCTGTGCTTCAGGATTTTAATTTAAAATATCTTTATTGTGAGTTATATGATTTTCTCACTTTTTGGCCTAAACTAACCATTATTTATGTTCTGACAACTGTACAAATTTAAAAGTAAAAAAGATAGCAATTTTAGAATTAATTTTGAAAAATGCTTCTCACTTCTTAACCCTGCCCAATATTTGAATAAAATCATATTTTCATGAATTGTCTCCCTTTTATACCCTAGCCCCGGTCTTTAAGTAATAATGAAAAAAGGTAATTTACAAATGTATATCTTTTCTGTGCAAATACATCTTGAGAACAACAACTTCTTTGAAATTTTTGTTTCTGATGACAAACTTCCAGTCAAGTTTGATTTTGACATTTACCTATTATGCTGTTCTGGAGTTATGGCCCTTGATTTCTCTAACAATGACACTAATAAGGAAAACCTGGTTTGCTGTCATTTTGACAACCTCTTGTATCACAATGTCTTCAGTTCTAATTTGCATTTAGCATCCTTAAATTCCAGTTGCATGTAGTATTATTACCAGTATTCCCCATTTCCTCAGTTATCATGGTTACAAAGTATGCTGAATATTTGTTAAGTTTTTAATTAAGTTTGTTAATCAAGAAGCATTTATGATATTCCATATATATATAGAGTGTCATCCTTCAATAACCAGAGATTTTACTTTGTTTAGATGTTAAGTTTTGTGAACAGCTGTGTTTTTGAAGAATTACTACCGGTACATGTATATGACCACATATATTTGGTATGATTTTGCAATTGCATCTCTCCGTTTTAGTTACAAACATAATATGTTCAACCCCTCTTAATCATGATTCAATGATTTAAAATTTTTTAACTTGTCAGAATTTTAAGTTTTCTGATCAGTCATGTTAGTTGTGTTACAGAAATATATAAGATAGACCATTGACATTTGGTATGATGTTACATTACCATTCATTCATTCATTAGTATTATCTTTCATGCATCTTAGCTACAAGTAAAATATTAGATTCCACATCATTGCTTTTAATTTTTACATATTTAACTCATAAGGGCGATTAAGGCCATTTTGAGGTCTTTTCTCTCTAATATCTTGTTGTCCAATGTCTGTCTGTCATCAAGTACCAAATTAAACATAGGGATGATCATCTTTAGGTGTACAGTTTCAAAACGAGATATGTATCCAAAGTTATGTTACATTGTATCTATCAATCAATATAACCACACTTATTAGAAATGGAACATAGGGGAGAAACTAATAAAAAATTTGATTTAAAAAATCCTATGACGGTAATTTAGCTTCACATACTTGTGTGCTCGTAACAATCTTCATTGACTAGAAGATTGCCAATAATTCTGTCTAAGGTGGATGGTTCTCTTTGGGCACTCTGGTTTCCTCCACCTATTAAAAATGACCTGCATGATATAGCCAATAGTGCTAAAAGTGCTGTCAAAAACTAACAATTAAGCAACCAAAAGGTGCTCATAAGGTAACATTAAGCCATAGCTTCAGATTGAAACAAGAAGCTTATCTCAAATAGAAATATTTAGAAATGGTATTGCATCATTGAAACATGGGTGATTGAGAAGTAAAAGCCTTATTTGAGGATTCTGAAGCTGCATAACATAATTTAAAGAAGTAAATACAAATTTCTGAATTGATCCAGGTCAATTATAGAACTTATTAGATGACTCATAATCCCCGGATATGAATTTTTACTCCATGGAAAAAGTAAGCAGTGTTATATGTTAACAAATATGAATATATTTTTTCAGATCGGAGCGTAAACAATGGGCATTTGGATTATTTTTGGGATGCACTGTACTGTATTCTTGTCGAACAGTTACTCCATTATGTGTGGCAGTTATGGCAAAGGAATTTGACTGGGACAAAACACAGTCGGTAAGGACATGCTTTTTAACTTATCTTTAACACGTTTAAAGAATATGATACATACATGTAAATACATTTACAGAAAATGATATTACATTACCTTTTAACAGAATGCTATTGTTGATGTATTGTATCAAGTTAATTAAATTAATACAACATTTTGGATTAGAGCACTGTCAATGACTGTGTTACAATATTTGAAATGGCTGATGTGAACACTTGATACTTTTGACGTAAAATGTTGTATAAGCAAGCAAGAAGCTTTGAAATGATAAAACCTTTATTTGTGCTCTGGTAACAGGAGATTAGAATTATTGATCACCATAATTTTATTTTACAGGGTTCAATTCTTGGTTGTTTTTTCTGGGGTTACACAATGACCCAGTTTTTAGGAGGTTATCTGAGTGACAAAGTGGGAGGAGATGTTGTTGTTCCTATAGCAGCATGTTTCTGGTCAATTCTGACTTTTTGGACACCACAGTTTGCCTACTTATCTACAGATAAATATGTCACACTTCATATTTTGGTGTTATCAAGGGTTTTATTGGGAATGTTTCAAGGTATGAATGTTATAAATTAAGTCATTATTTACCAATTATTACATCACTTAAAATACATCTGTTTCAAAGTACTACTAAAAAAGGGACAAAAGGATGTTCAAACAATCCATTGCGAGAACTCTGAGAACATGACTTATGTTGAAGTAATAAGTAATTTTGGGAGAAGGAAACATGTCTGTTTCAATGTACTACTATGGAGAGTGTTTAACAACCTTGACTACTCCTGAGGGTCTTGTAAAGTCTGAACTGTTTCAATGTCTGAAAAGGATTTATGGAACTAGTTATTAAATCTTATACACGATCTAAATGATTCATGTTTATTTTTTATTTGACAACATGCATCTGAAAGTTTTGTTAAATAAAACTGATAAAAAATAGATAATAACTGAATGTTCCTTGTTTGGTTAATGTCCAGTGGCAAATTGTTTTTGCATATTAAGGACATGTTAATCAACTGGGTAAGGTCTTTTTATTAACTATATCATGTATATTCTTGTTGTCAATTAACAAATTATACAACTTTGAGTGTATATGATCATGATGATAGTAAATATGCTAAAATGTACTAAAAGTTTTAAAAAAACTGTTTTCGGAGAATTTAGATAAAAAGATGTTGCAACTGTCATTTACAAGAACCCCTGAGGAGAAAACTGGTTTGTTTTTCATAACTTAAGTGAACAAGTTTGAAAAATTGGTGTTATTTTATTTGACAGGATTCTATATGCCTTCAGTAACGAGTCTGATAGGTCATTTTATAGAAGGACCACACAAGTCTTTCTACACACCTATAATAGCAGCTGGACAATACTTTGGGTATTTATTACCTGAATAAACTGCAAAAGGAAACATTTAAATGGTATCACCATTAAAGTGGGTGATAAGTTACACACATATTAACATTATTAATTATCACAAATTTTCATTTTAAACCCCTTTCTTTTTGAACTGCATATTTTTCCGTAGACTTCAGATTTTTTATATTGCATTATACTAGTATTGTTTTTAACCTTTCTTTTCAATATATTGCCAATATTATTTGCACAATTCTTTTTTGGTAAACAAAATAAATTGTGTCGCCAGTACAAATTCAAGAACATAATTTTGAAAGATCTTCTCTTCAAAATGTATTTAGCTTATTTTATTTATTTAAAAGGCTTCTGAATTGAAGAAAATGATGAAGCCTCAAATCTTTGGTTATGCTATTAAAGTAACTTTATTGATCTTATTTTCACCAACTTCAGCAGATTTAAACTTTTCACTTTTGCATCTCTTCTCATATTGATTGATTGATTGATTGATTGATTGTTGGTGTTTAAGACCACTTTCAGCTTTGTAGACTACATCGTAACAGACAGATTTTATTTCTTGTAACACTTGCTATTTTAAGTAATAGATGGCTAGCAGGGTCAGTAAGTATGATTTTGAAAAGGTGTCATTTAAGGATTTTCTTTTCTGATTTTTTTTTGTCTCATTTAGAGCATGTAGAGTAAGACTGGTTCTAAAAAATTTCATAAATTTGTCTCAGCTAATCAGAAGTTATGGAGGCCATTTGCAATGAAAGGTATGACTTGCATTTAAGATTTTTGTCTCGCCTTGACGGAGTCTAAAAGCAAGCCATAGGTATGCTGTTTCCTGTGGCGGCGGCATCAACAATGTATTAGTTTGTGATTAGGTCTAGTTTATGGTGATCCACTAGTGGTAGATCAATGATATTTGGTATGCAGTTGTATTAGCATTGGTACATCTCATTACCATGGAGATTATTTGGCCCCGCCTTCTCAGTCATGTTCTATTGACTTTGAAACTTTGCTTAGTTTACATGTATTAGTTTGTGATTAGGTCAGTTTATGGGGAACCACTAGTGGTAGGTTAATGATATTTGGTATGCAGTTGTATAAGCAATGACATATCTCATTTTCATGGAGATTATATAGCCACGCCCCCTCAGTCATGGTCTATTGACTTTGAAACTTTTGCATAGTTTACATGTATTAGTTTGTTATTAGGTCAGTTTAAGATGAACCACTAATGTTAAGTAAATGATATTTGGTATGCAAATGTATTGGCATTTGCAAGTTTCATTTCCATGGAGATTATATAACCCCACACCCTCATTATAGTTCTTTGACTTTGAAACTTTTACATAGTTTACAAGTTAATGTTTGTGTTTTGGCTTGTTTAAAGGGAACAACTTATGAGATTTCAGTGGTATTTGGTATGCAGTTGTATTAGCATTGGCACATCTCATTTCCATGCAGATTGTTTAGCCCTGTACCTTCAGTCATGGTTCACAGACTTTGAATATTTGCGTTACTTACATATTAAAGTATTGCTATTTTAATTTCAACATTTGCATTGATTAGGCGAGACATATCTCTGTGTTAACAGTTTATGAAGTATGGAGACCTTAAAGCCCTATTCTACCAATGGTTGGTTTCTTTTGGTCAAGCTGTTTTAGGAAAGATATAAAAACATCTTTCAACCTATCAGGAGATTTGGTAATCATATTTGACAGCTTTGTTCCTACAGTAATGGAATGACCTCCAATTTTTTCAGTGACCCCACTCAAAATCAATCATCACTTCAAACAAGTTTTACATAGGGACAAAACCTTAATGTTATTAACTGGTAGGGAACACCATTTAAGAAAAAAGTTTGATTTGGTAAAATTAAACTAAAGGTGATACCATTTTATTCTCCTTTATGTGTGGGAACTTGCATATATACATGTAGTATTAGTACAGCTGCATTCATTTGTACCCTTTCTTAAAATAGATTAAAAGTCTCATGTTTTTTGTACTTTCATATTTAATGGACAGTATTAGAAAGAAGAAATTTAATTTGAAATATTGAAGAAGAAAAAAAGAATGTAGTTAACATGTTAGAAGAAATTTTTTGTTTTAGAATTTTTTAAATGAGACTTTTACCTACTCATGTTCGATATTCATGAACTTTTCTGAATTAGATCTCCTGATGCTTCTGACAGGTGGCATTTATCCATTACTTTATTATATACATGTACAGACAACCCTTATATATCTCAGTAGATCCTTCCAGGAATCCTGATGCCTAGATTGATTGATCATAATCTTTGGCAGACCTATAAATTTTCCTACACAAATATATTTATGGTAGTCATGAAGATTTTTTTTTTAGAAAAAGGTAAAAGTTCCTTACCTTTTCCACTTAATTTACATTAAAAATCAAAGTTATACATTGTAAAAAGAATAATTAACTAATTAAAGGATTCAAATAAAAAAAAAATGTCACTAATTAAATATATATGATGCTAGCATTACAGAGTTATCTACCTCTACAGGTTTCCATTATCCTAGTGTAAGTTCCATCATATCAAGAAAAGTTTCGGAGCACGAGCGTTCTTTAACCTACAGCTTTATCTGTTCAGGATCACATCTAGGGTAATCTTACTCTTTTTTCAACAAGCATTTAAACATGTAATGTAGTTGATAAAAGCATATTCTAACATCTTTTCTTCATTAGCTATAAAGTTTTCCTTTAAATACATTGAAACCTGTCTGTATACAAATCCATGTGGAAAAAAAGATAACGTTTACATACATATTGTCTTAAAATCATTAGAGAAACAATTTCCTCCACTGCATCTTGTGTTATTCCTTTTTTTGCCACTCATTACAGTTTAACTTTAAATTTGAAAATTTTACTTTCTCAGTGTATCACACTAGATGCCTTATTAAAATCTGTATTTGCTTGATATACTCAATAGGTTTCTCTGTATGTGGGATAACATGTATGAAGATCATATGAGTAAATGTTCTAAGGATGGTATACCTCAATTACAATAAGAAATAAAGAAGCTTTTAGAATGAGATTCAAGTTTATTCATTAAGGGATTTGATTAAAATAAACTCTAGCTATTTTGTCATAAACAGCTATATTGTAACAGTAGCGCATGTATGAAGGTATATAAAGATTGAAGTTTTTAAATTATAATTTGATCAATCAGAAAAGGAAAATTTACAAAAGCATTCAGTGTGTTCAGTAGACAGTACTATAATATGAGAAGGCATAAGATTATTGTCAAAGATAAAGTACTTACTGCAAACCTATTTCCAAGAATAATTTTCGCTTCAATAAAGCAGTGAGTGGTAAATTGTTTTTTTTAATTTTTTGGAATTCAAAAAAGATGGATTCTTTTTTATCATTATATTATTCAAAACTTGATTTGTACAAATTGTGGCATGCAAATCCTGAGAACAAATACTTATGTGACCATACAATAGAGGCTTGAAGCTTGGTTGAAATTATACAAGCAGCACAGATTATTAAGTAATTTATGGTTTTTGTCTCGCCTTGACAGAGTCAAAAAGCGAGACATAGGTATGCTGTTTCCGGTGTCGGCGGCGGCGTCAACAATGTATTAGTTTGTGATTAGGTCTAGTTTAAGGTGAACCACTAGTAGCTATAGTTGGTCAATGATATTTGGTATGCAGTTGTATTAGCACTGGCACATCTCATTTCCATGGAGATTATTTGGCCCTGCCCCCTCAGTCATGGTCTATTGACTTTGAAACTTTTTACATAGTCAATGATATTTGGTATGTAAATTTATTGGCATTTGCAAGTCTTGTTTCCATGAGGATTATATAGCCACACTCCCTCATCATGGTTCATTGACTTTGAAACTTTTACATAGTTCACAAGTCAATGTTTGTGTTTAGGTTTGTTGAAAGGGAACTAGTGGTAAGTCAATGATATTTGGTATGCAGTTGTAAAAGCATTGGCATATCTCATTTCCCTGGAGAATATTTGGTCCCGCTCCCGCAGTCATGGTCTATTGACTTTGAAACTTTTGCTTAGTTAACATGTATTAGTTTGTGATTAAGTCAGTTCAAGGGGAACAATTAGTGGTAGGCCAATGTTAATTGGTATGCAATTGTATAAGCATTAGCACATCTCATTTCCATGGATAATATTTGGTCCCGCCCCCTCAGTCATGGTCTATTGACTTTGAAACTTTTGCTTAGTTTACATGTATAAGTTTGTGATTAGATCAGTTTAAGATGAACTGCTTATGTTAAGTCAATGATATTTGGTATGCAATTTTATTGGCATTTGCAAGTCTCGTTTCCATGGGGATTATATAGCCACACCCCCTCATCATGGTTCATTGACTTTGAAACTTTTACAGTTTACAAGTTAATGTTTGTGTTTAGGTTTGTTGAAAGGGAACGACTTATGATAAGTCTATGGTATTTGGTATGCAGTTGTATTAGCATTGGCACATCTCATTTCCCTGGAGATTGTTTTGCCATGTACCTTCAGTCATGGTTCATTGACTTTAAATATTTGCATAACTTACATGTTAAAGTATTGCTATTTTGATTTCAACATTTTCATTATCAAAAGTACAAAAAGGCGAGACATATCTCTGTGTTAACAGTTTATTTATAAAGTCTTAGGCAATCATTCTATAAATAATAAGTTATAATGTAAGCTGTTTGCATTAAGAGTTTGTGACATGATATATTCTTAAACAACAATGTTCATTAAAATTTTGTAATAGTTTGATATAACATACATTCTTTTCTACATATTTTTGCCTAAAGTGTGGAAAAAAAAGATTCTCAATGGTACTTATGTTTTAAATAATAATCTGAAAATAATACAAAATGGATTATACATAATACATACATATTTTCTTATGTTTTGTTGTGTTTTCACATTATTTGTTTTTTAAAACACTTTCTATTTAAAGATTATTGTTTGCTTTGATATTTTAGTCATCTTGAGATACATATTTTCTCGTTATAGGACCCTGATTAGTGGTAGTATAGGATCCATATTATTAGAGAGATATGGATGGCAGAGTGTATTTTACTTTGTTGGTATGTATGATTGTAGGGGATTTTTGCTTTTATTTTATTTTGACACATACACAGAATTGAAAAACAGTTTATTTATGCTCAAAATTTTTGAACTGTTAGAAATATAGATTTTGATTGACAAATCAAGTGTCCATATGCACTGTATGATAGACTTGAATAAATTTCAAATTATTTTGTTTTTACTTTTATGTCTTGTGGGTTTGTCCTGTCAGTCTTGTGTCTGTGTATTTTTACGTATGTTGGTGTTTGTTTTTGTTGCAGTTCAGTGTTTTTGTTGTTCCGTTGTTTTCCTCTTATAGTTGATGTGTTTCCCTCGGTTTTAGTTTATACCCGGATTTGTTTTCTCTTAATCGATTTATGACTTTTGAACAGCGTTATACTACTGTTGCCTTTATTTACTTTAGAGAATATAAAGATATAATATTTTCTACATTGATTGGAAGTTTAAGTGGTTGAACTCATTGAACATGTTTGAATTTTTCTGACAGGCTCATTTGCAAAATATCAATTTCAGTATTTATTTCAGAAAATTTACCTTACCTGCACTTTAGCTTTAAATTAGTGCTTATATTTTGATCTTAGATTTTTCATATAAACCTGTATACGGTACATAATAAAAACTGTTGTAAACTTGTAAGGGCTGTCAGTTGAAACAAATGTTGGAGAGTTATGTCTTTCTTATGTGATTTCTAATAAACCCCATTATTGAATTTGTTTATCAAAGTATCAAAATGATATGAACTCCCAATTGTCAGTTCATAAAATAGTTTGCTCGAGGATAATATTTATGATATAATGTGTTTGTTGTTTTCAAGCTTTATTTCCAACATAAAAATGATTATATTTCAGGTGTTTGTAGCATTTTATGGATGTTAGGGATGAGATATATATTAATAGCAAAGCACAGAAAAAAGTACTTGCCTTTCATCATGGCAGAGAATCTAGCAGATAAACCCATCAAAAAAGATAAGGAGAAGGTGCCATGGTTGACGTTATTTGTTAAACCTGCATTTTGGTAAGCCTTATCCACTTTGTATATAAACAATTGTTATTCTATATAATATACTTTATGATATGTATAGTTTGTTTATCCAGTCAATCTTATTTGAAAGTATAACCCCATCATCTGTAGGTATCCACTCTGTTAATCATGCTCAATAGATTTAAGTCAATCTTGTCTCTTTTTGTGTCTGTTCACAGAAGTTGGAATCTGTGTATTTGATTTTTATATTTAATGATGAAAATCTAATTATAATAATAATTAAAATTGACTCTTCTTCAACAAAATTGAATGAATTATCTCCAAAAAGACATTCAGTGTGGTTATTCTCCATCTGCTGTTGATAATCATAGCAAGTGAGAATTGAATATTGCTTGATATCAACTTGAGTAATTTTATTTCAATGTATTGATAAATTAGTTTATTATTATTATTGAAATTAAATAACGCAAGTTGATATCAAGCGATATCCAATTCTGAAAACAAGTTGTTAATCCCATTTCATTTATGGTAAAAATTCTCCTTGTGTTTAATGGAACATTCTGCACTCATTGTTATTGTCTTGGCACCAAAACATTTTGATGTCACGAGTCTGCTCCTGGTGTAAAATGTTAACATTAGACCTTTTTAAGATTTTCTAAGTATTAGAATGAGATCAAATTTGACAAGAAGATTTACAGGTGAAGGATGTGACTCTTTTATATATTATTAAAGAAATTTCGTATCTTAGTTACCATGGAGGAAAATGAGTTCTTTGTTACCTTTAAAAGTCATCTATGACCTTAACAATAGCCAATAGATATGTCACAATTTTGTACCACATATAAGTTACCAGTGATTGTTTTCAGTTTTAAGAGTGGGAGATTTAATACGGGAGGAACTGAGAAGGTTTTGGAGGGGAAGTATCTGTATATTTCTAGCCCAATTTGATATTTTATTTAAAAAAAAACTTTTGTAAGTACACAATGATTACTAATATGATGCAAACTTGCACTACTTGGAATTTGGAAACCATAACCAGAAAGTCTATAACAGTCCCATTGTCTGTCTGTCTGTCGTTCACAAATATTTTATGTAAATAGCTTTTAGACCACTTTCCGTTTTAGGAAGATACTTTTTTTAATGTTAGCCTATACAAGAATGCATATAAACAGATAGTATTGCAGCCTCTAAGCTCAATGTAAACAATATAAATCACACAACAAATAAAATCAAAGTTCTGGTAATGTTGCTCATACTAATTTGGGACATTGGATGCCAGTATTTATTTTTGTTGATTGTTCAGTCAAATATATTATGATATAAAAATCATATAAAAAATATTCATGTTTTGGTCAAAAGACCAGTTTAACATAAACAACCAATTTACATTAATCAAATGCTGCATCTTGCTTTGTAGCAAAACTGATATTATACTTAGACAAACATATATCAGAAATGCTTTTTCCTATCCTGGTATATTTTTAAAGTATATCAGAAAATCTTTTTCCTATCCGGGTATATTCTTCAAAATGGAGCAATTTTAAACATTTTTTTTCATATGCATGAACATTTTATATTTTAATTTTGTTTCAATCTCTATTTAAGCTTGCATATTGAAGAAAAATTATTTAAACATTTTGTAACTTCATGGTCATAAGTTTCTTTAATTATAACAAGAAAAAATTGATTGTAGTAGAGCTCTTATTCTTAATTGGTGTGAATTAGTAGAAAATATAGAACTATGTTGTTTTTTAAATTCTGAATCAAATGTTTTCAACTTGTTTCTGTGTTACAGGGGTTTATTAGTAGGACATTTTAGCCATGCTAATTCCTTCTTCATACTGTTATCATGGGCACCAACCTATTTTCATGAGAATTACCCTAATGCAAAGGTAAATAGAGCACTTATAATAAAAAAGGAAACAGGTAAATTTTGCACATACATATGTTTGTTTTTGCACATACTCATGTATTAATAGAAAACATGCGTCATTCTAAATTTGCACAAAAGTAAATTCTTAACAATATTTATTTTTACAGGTCTCTCATGGTTGGACATTTCTGTGAAAATAATGCATTTTATATTCTGTTGTCATGGTTACCAACTTATTTTCATGAAAATTTCCCAGATGCCAAGGTATTTCTCCTATAGCACCATGAAAGGCATGCTTAACTATTGCTATGCAGAATTAATTATCTGTGTAACAACAAGTTACAATATATTATTTTATGTTTGGTGAATGTTTCTGTTGGAATGGTCATTCATAAAATTGGATAGTATAGTTATGCATGATTCTGGTGTTAGTAGTCCTATGCATTCCTATCAACATGTAAATGAAATCCTTTGTTCTGTATGCACTTTCTGTCACATTGCAGTATTTGATGAACATAATATGAATCGATACTGTACATGTATATAAAATTTATGAATTATATTAAGACATACTAAGTCTGAAATCTGTAGCATTTCATTTTCACTTTTCCCTTGCTTTCTATTTGCAAAGTAGTAATAAATTGTTTGGGCCAAATGTTTTTATCATCTGGTTTACAATCATATATGAATTATATATGAAAGAGCTTTGTGTAAATGATTTGTGTGCTGTATTATAAATTAATATAGAAGTATCCCACATGGCCCTCCCTGCTAGATAAAGCACTATATTTGAAAGAATGAAGTAATCTGTCTTGCTAAAGAAAAGCACCATATTAGGAAGAGGATATAAATTGCTACAATAGGAATACATATTTATATAATTCTATCAATTGCAACTTTATCAGCATGAATATTTTAAATTGGTTTTTGTTTTTGTGTGGTTTTAGGTGTAACATTTAAATGTTGTATATTGAGATAGGAGATGAAATGCATGTTATTTTAATACTGAACAAAGCACTCCAATTTTCAGCAGTCTTATATTTCCTTTCACAAGACATGTAACCTCATCATTTTAATTGTTTTACAAAGCTCTATTTGTATGATGTTTTCAGATTCTCAATGTATGTGAAATATATCTTTATATTTATACTTTACTTGCTACTAGGTTAGTCTTGTCATTCTGTACATGTTATTCTATACTTCTGTTCTTATGTTACTGCTTGGTTAAGAGTTGTGTTTTTCTCAAAAACATGTAGTAAAGTATTTTATTGATATTTCACCACTTAGGTTCTAGGACTTTTCCTGATTTTTTTTTTCGTAATGTCTGTAGAAATTGAGTAGATTTATGGTATGTTATTGAACAATTTTGACCGACATACAGATTGGATTTAGGTGTTCATTGGAAAGGATTGTTTATGAACTTTTTTAAAGAATAGCCAGAAAAATGCTGTACTTAACAATTTTGCAATAGGGGTAGGAACAGTTGTGGTCACATCTTGTTTTATACATATTCATACACAAATTTCATGGTTCCATCTACCATAGGCAAAATTTGGAAGGCCGAAGTGAGGCTTATGAATATTTGTAATGAATTGTTTGTGCTATAGCCAGTAATTGCTGCTTTAAAAGGAGTTCTTCATCACAAAGTCGTCCAAAACTCCAGGATGTGTCATACATAACCTTCAGCCAAGTGCATAACTTAAAGGTCTAGGTAAAAGTCAATCTAGATCTAAATGACACTATCATGTTACAAAAGTTTGTCACAACTCTGGCTAAAGTTCACATCCAGTAGGTCAGCTAAAAATGTAGCTCATGTCAGAGCAACACCAAAATACACTTTTGGTATATTAAAGCTTCAAGCCAGGGTTGCTAGTTCTTTCTATTTTAAATTTTATATGAATGAAATTTATTTTCAACATAAACTGTCATAACCTTATTTTCTTTGAAAACTGTCTTACTTAACTTTCTTTGAACATATGCTGTCAAGAACTATAAACTTAAATTGCATCCAGAAATAGAAAACTGTCACCTACTTATAGAAGAACAGATTTGCTGTATAGGAGTGCTATTTTAGGCATTTAAAAATACCAGTAAATTGTTAATACAGACCTATTTTCACTAAGATGAATATTTAAAAACAAATCATTGTGATTGTGGGGATGGGTATTTACTGTAGTGCCATGGATTGTGTCCATGTTTAGTTCTGTATTAATTATCATTGTAGGGATGGGTATTTAATGTAGTAGTGTCCATGTTTAGTTCTGTGTTAATTATCATTGTAGGGATGGGTATTTAATGTAGTACCATGGATTGTGTCCATGTTTAGTTCTGTGTTTAGTGGCTGGTTGGCTGATCATTTACTAGAAAAAGGTTTGTTTTACCAGGACAAATTAACTGCAATTAAGATTTATCTGATTTGAAAAGTTAGAGTTTATTTAATTGTATCTACAGAAACAGAAGGGATTGTGATCTTAATAAATGAATATTTCTGTGGATTAAAGAAATAATTTTAAACTGCAAATTTAAGTAGAATTAATACATAACAAAATGAAATACTAGTATCATGTGTGACTATAGGGTAAGAATGTTTTTTGTGAACTATAATTACTTTTGTAAAAAGTCTTATAACAACAACACTTTAGGGACTGCTGCAGAAAATTTATTTATCGACATGTTTCGGTGACTAGGACACCGTCATCAGGATACAAATAATACATCGAGCATGCTTAAGTATAAAATCGGGTTGTCTAAAGACAACATCATAGTATAGTGGTAGTTATGAAAGAGGAAGTGAAAGTGAAAGTATAAATAGAAAAAATATAAATAGATTGTCAACATGAAAATGAAAGTAAAACAAAATAAAATTGTTCATGTATTGAGTCTATGTTATTAATGCCTTAGCTGAAAATGTTATAAATTGAATGTACAAAAACGTGTCAATTATGGGACAGACACGTTTTTGTACATTCAATTTATAACATTTTCAGGTAAGGCATTAATACTTAAGCATGCTCGATGTATTATTTGTATCCTGATGACGGTGCCCTAGGCACCGAAACATGTCGATAAATAAATTTTCTGCAGCAGTCCCTAAAGTGTTGTTGTTATAAGACTTTTTACATTTTTTGTGCTTTATCATAATGACCCTGCATACCCGAGGTATCCACTTCAGGGACTCTACCTTACTACAGAATTAACAGGCGTTGGTTCACTTTCGTTTGTAATATAATTACTTTTATTTGACTATGCACTTTTACATGCAATTGCTATTAATTACCGGTATAAAGAAAATAAAACATAAAAAATATCTAAGAATTCACCAATTGTCTTTTCTTTAAAAATTGACAATCGCATCTTTATACATTTTTTTTTATTTTAGGTTATACAGTTACATTTGTAAGAAAATTTATTGAGGTATTTACTTTAACCATTGAAATATCTTTTTTATAAGTTTTCTTTCAGTTATTTTGGGCCAACAGAGCTCTGTTAGCTGTTGCCATTACTTACCACATATTCCATGTTTAACATTTATAAATTCAACTATTAAGCCCTTTACTTATAAACAGAATGGTTCTTTTAATCAGCTGTTATATTTTTCCTGGAATTTTTTATGAAAAAAAAATATATAACTTTTTTATGTTTATTGTAAAACTGTTTTGCTGCTAAATTACAAACCTATTAACTGATTGCATGATTATTATAATCTTGCAGGTTGCATTTAATTTAGATTTTTGAGTATAAAAGGATTAGGGGTGCATGTCAATGAGAGAGCAATCCAACGACATGTCATACATTACCAGAAAACATCTAGAGGTCAAAATACACCAACCTAACCACAGAAATGATCTAAGAGATCAACAAAAATACAATTTTCAACAAAAGAGGGATGTCTATACAATATGTCAAGCTCAGAATCTTTAAGTAGCACTCAGTCTAAAAATGTTGTGAATAAATTTAACAGACTATCAAATATCTGCCATCAACACAGAATAACAATTATAACATAAAGTAACAAAGAAGTTTCAGTAGAGTAACAAATGGTACTGGTACATAAAAGAAAAAATATACAACAAAAGACAAACCACTGAAGAAGTTTCAGTAGAGTAACAAATGGTACCGGTACATAAAAGAACAAAGAAACAACAAATGACAACCATTGATGAAGTTTCAGTAGAGTAACAAATGGTATCGGTACATAAAAGAACAAAGATACAACAAATGACAACCACTGAAGAAGTTTCAGTAGGGTAACAAATGGTACCAGTACATAAAAGAACAAAGATACAACAAATGACAACCTCTGAAGAAGTTTCAGTAGGGTAACAAATGGTACCGGTACATAAAAGAACAAAGATGCAACAAATGACATCCATTGAAGAAGTTTCAGTAGGGTAACAAATGGTACCTGTACATAAAAGAACAAAGATACAACAAATGACAACCACTGAAGAAGTTTCAGTAGGATAACAAATGGTACCGGTACATAAAAGAACAAAGATACAACAAATGACAACCACTGAAAAAGTTTCAGTAAAGTAACGAAAGGTACCGGTACATAAAAGAAAATATAATAAAAGTCAATAAAGAAATACTCACATCTCTTTCAAAACTGACAAGAAAAAAAAATCATACGAAGCATTAATAAACAAAACGTATCATACCAAAGACGGTTTGCAGTTACTGAAAACAAGAATCATACCAACTATACTTTTAAATCAGTATATCTGATTTCTTGATTTTTCAGACTATTTCCTTAGGTGGCACAGCTGTAGGATTGATATCATTATCATACATGACAACATTTGGCGGTGCATTATTTTGTATGGCCATCGCAGTGGCTTGCTGTGGCTTTCATAATAGTGGTATACTTGTAAACCCACAAGATATAGCACCCAAACATGCTGGATCAGTGTTTGGTAAGTACAGAATATGGTACAAAGATATATCTTTTACTGGTAGATCTAGAGTAAAAGAGAAAAGAAAGACTGTCAATTTGCTGTTGTTTCAATAAACCTTGCCAAGCAAGTCCTTTTATTTAGATACTTATAAATTATCTATGGTTTTTCAAACAAGATGGTGTTCCTCAGCTACAATCTCATGGAAGGGCGATAGCCCTGAGATGAGATGTGGCCGAGAAACATCCTCGAGTTTGATATACCATTGATAGTCTGTTTATTGATATTTTACCTATGACGTCTTTGATGTTTACATTGACAATGGCATGTGCTCCCTTAGTTTCTAGCAATAATTTTCTATTTCAAGTGGTTAACATGATATAAAAAATGATCATGAAAAATGATCACAAAAAAGATCAAAGGAAAAACACATAAAATAGCTATAATGATTTGATATTTGTGGAAAAAAAAGAGACTTAAGCAATAAAATTCTTATTGTTTGCAAAGAAATATGTTTCTTCCATCTTTTAGAACTAGAAATATGGATTTTATAAAATTTGAGAACATACTCCACATTTATATCATTAGAAATGGAACAGAATGCATCTGTAAATATATTTTTTTTTACAGGTATTATGAACATGGCAGGTGCAATACCAGGTATGTTTACTACAGTTCAGAAATTATTTAACTGTATAATATCATATTCACATATTGTATATTGTGAAATTTTCATGTGTGTCTAATTTGCTATTTTCACAGGAGACATTTTACTGGAATTGTTCATTCAAATGCATTGAACAAGGCCATGAAATGCAAATACTGAAAAAAGCAAAGATTTAACTGTCCCTTCTAGGTAAAAAACTGTGAACAAAACCCAATGCAAAAATAACTTGATCAACAGTAATATTTTTCTGTCAAGTATTAGGAAACAAAGGGGTGTGTTTCGCTCATTTGAAATAATACCTTTACATTCAATTCAAAATGAGTAAATGTTCTAGCAATTTATCATATGCTAATTAGTTTCTGGAGACACACTTGGTGAAGCCGATGAAGCCATCAATTTTTAAAATGACCATATAAAGTTGTGAAAAATATGTGTTTCCCATTTATAGAAAGAAAAGAAAGAAGTTATTCAAATATAGATAACATATTTATGAAGATATTTACAAGCAATCATGCAGACTCTCTCTCATGGTGTCACCTCCAATGATCATTAAATTTTTGAAATGTTGATTTTATTTTCAGGTTTTGTTGGAGTATATATGGCAGGTCACATTTTAGAGGCTACCAAGAGTTGGGCAGCTGTATTCAACCAGACAGCTGGTGTTTGTATTTTTGGCTGTATTGTTTACTTGCTGTTTGGTACAGGAAAACGGATAATATAAATATATTTATATCTGTTATAGTGATAATTATGTGTTCAGGTACTAATATGTCATTCCCATTAAGGGATCAAATCTTACTTATCACTGTGTTGTCCGTCCATTGGTCAATATTATGATTGTTATTGTTAATGATATTATTAATGTATGTTTGTGAATGAATTTTATTGTATATTGTTGTGAGATTGTTAGTGCAATGGTGAGGATGTGATCTTTGAAAACGTATGACTGTAAATGGATATTTGGTCATGACGAAGTAATCAGGCAAAAATCATATTTAGATAGATAGGACGATTGATAAACATTAATTGCTTACATAAAATTGCCTACATCCACTTCATTTGAACTTTGGTGCATAGTTGTCTCATTGGCAATCATACCACATCTCCTTATTTTTATATTAAATATTTTCCTTTTCTTTAAATTAGATTATCTTATATTTAATGATCATGTATACTTTATACAAGGATTCACTCAGAGGCATGTTTGTGATAAATAGAATTATTATTATTTATTGTCATTGGAAACTGTGAGATGCGTTTAAAATGTATTTGTTAACTTTTTAATTTCCTAAAAGGATGTTTTATTTTCGTTCTTGTCTGTTTCTTGACAAATCTTGCTGTAACAATTTGATACAGTATACATCATTTAGTCATCACATTACATAACTCACATGGCGACTATAATGATAGTGATAAAATACATGTTTATGATATAAGTGAAATTTAGTGTGCTCTACATTAATGTTCAGTGTGTATGTTGTTTCTTTAATAGATCATATATATTTTACTTGATAAAGTGTTTTAATCATCATTCACATTGTTTGGGGGTAACCAGTAATAATTATCATAGATAAGAATATTTTTTTTATCTGACGAAATGATATACTCAGTTATATGTAGTTTACATATAGGTACTAATACATCTGTCATCGCAGGAAATCATTAAATAACTATTCATTATTCCAGAATGTCATCAATTTTATCATGGTAAACAAGTAAAACATGAAAAAGTAATTACTAGGTCCCTAATTTTAGGGTTATTTTCATCCCTATTTGTTACTATATTATGAATTATATGTTCTTTATCATATTATAATTTTATGCCTCACCTCCAATAGTTCTATGTTTTCCTGTCTTTTTTGGTCTGTCCATTTCTGCGTCCTGTCAGTTAAAAGTTTTGATCAAGGTATTTTACCATGAAATTGTGATTACATCAATATTTAATTTAGAACACATTTTCAATTTGATGTGAACTTTTTAAAATTATATGCCAAAATATATAGAGTTTATACTCCGATTTCACATTCTTTTTTGTACTAAATAATTCATTATTTTTATTTTAACAGGAATATTTTAGATATGCATTGCCATTGCTCTTTTAGGGTTGTAGTTGCTTTTATAATATAATAAAAACTTGAGTTAGGGAAAATAATAGTTATTAGATGTTAGAACAGTGTATGTTTTATTATTTTATGTATTGCATCATCATTCAGATAGTTATGTCTGTGTATATTTATTCTCAGAATTTGTGAACATATAGAATATCTGTTGCCAAATACTTCTACATAAAGTCGCAAAAGTCAAATTATTAGATATATTTAGTGCCTGCTTATTAGATTAATTTTCCATACCAATTAAAGCAGTGTTTTATTAGATTACATGGCATATTAGTTGGTTCAAATTGCAGAATATTTTGTCTTGCTATCTAATCCAAAGAAAGTTTTAAAACCACAGTAAACACGACTTTCAGTATAAAAAAATATCTGTAATTCTTGTCAGATCATGTAAAAACATAATGATCTGCTACTTTCCTTACTGAACACTATTTAATGACCTTGTATGATTGGTTTTGATTGCCTTAAACAGTTATGTTATCTCTAACATTTAACCAAATAACTCCTTAATTTCATATTTTATGTGTTTTTTTTGTTATTTCGAATGTGCAATTTTGAAAACATAGTGACTTCTAATTACATTATAGTTATTCTCATTCAGATTTAAAGAATTTTATATTAAAATTCAATTTATTGTGAACTGCCTTAAGATGTAGTAAATGATCAATACATGTGTCTAAATTGTCAAAATAAAAAAGTAATAATGTTGTCAATGGAAGCACATGTTGGTATTATTTGTTGTTGTTACAGAAAGTAATGTAGAGTATGATTGGTGCTGTTGTTCAATTTATGTGATCCATAAAACAATTGTTTTTTCAGTGTGCATTTTTTTGGTTTTCCCTATAAAAGTTCTTATGAACAAATTGGAAAAAAAAATATATCTCTTTACACAGAACTTAACTGTTTGATATTGAAATGAGGGGAACTGCTTGCTTTAGATCAACGTGAGTTCCACTGAACAATGATGGTTACAATTGAATTAAGAATTGACCACTGGCCTAATAGGCCATTTGAGCCATTGCCAACACTTGGAATCTGTCATTGTCGTCCGGCATCAATCCTTCTGTCGATGTAAATTTTTATGCCCCCGCAACTGAAAATTGGGAGCATATTGTTTTACCCCTGTCTGTCAGTCCTTCCCTCCGTCCCATATGGGTTATTAGCTATTCCAGATAACTCCTCCTACAGTTTGAATGCTAGGAAGTTTTCACTTTGCTGGCTGTTTGTACATATATTGAAGGTGTGCATGTGGTCAGGGTTTTGATTTTTATTAATATTTGCTCTTTTGGGAGATAGTTGAACTTTGTCATTTTTGGATTATATACTTGCATAAGAGGTGCATAGTGTTTCCGGATAACTCCTTCTACAGTGAACCATATGATGTCTTTACACTAAATCCATTGGATGTTGGATGTGTACGGATTGATAATTTAGTCTTAGATGCATGATTTTTTTTATTAGTTGTTAGTGGCTTTGAACTATCTGCCAGTAACTGCGAGTACTCTCAGATCTGTACTTAAGTGTCTTTTTGTTGTTTGGATGTACAAGTACACAGCCACGTCCACTTGTATTTGTAGTATTTGTATTTTTATCCATCTGATGAGTTGAGCCTCTTTCAACTGATTTTTATAGTTCGTTCTTATGTTGTACTGTTACACCACTGTCCCAGGTTAGGGGGAGAGTTGGGATCCCGCTAACATGTTTAACCCCGCCACATTCTGTATGTATGTGCCTGTCCCAAGTCAGGAGCCTGTAACTCAGTGGTTGTCGTTTGTTTATGTGTTACATATTTGTTATTAGTTCATTTTTTATACATAAATTAGGCCGTTAGTTTTCCTCGTTTGAATTATTTTACATTGTCATTTCGGGGCCTTGTATAGCTGACTGCGCGGTATGGCCTTTGCTCATTGTTGAAGGCCGTACGGTGACCTATAGTTGTCAATTTCTGTGTCATTTGGTCTCATGTGGAGAGTTGTCTCATTGGCAATCATACCACATCTTCTTTTTTATACATTGACCTATGTGCTCCCATGCTCAACTTTGTGTATTTTAAAATAACACTTTGCATCTGCGGGGGCATCATTTGTATCTCCCAGACACAATAATATCTCAAAGAAAGTCCTACATTGACTTTGTTATAATACAGTTACTTTAGAGTAGAGTGCGGGGGCATCACTTTGTCTAGTTAAAAATATCTTCTCCTCTGAAACTAATGAGGCAAATGCTTCAACACTTAATTTGAAAGTACCTTAGGGAATATAGTTTAAAAATTGTATCCAGAAATTTGATCCATCAACAAACATGGCAGTTGTTTCTAAAAATAGGACATAGGGGTAAAACTGCACTATTTGGCTTAAATCTCAAAAAGTAAAGCAGTTAGAACAAACTTCAATGGGTAAAAATTATCAGCAGGTCAAGATATCTCATGAAATTTTTTAGAAAAATCAGACCACCCACTTTAAAGTTATTGCCCCAGATACACAATTTTAGCGGGGATCTTTACCCATTTTTTGCATTTTTTTTTTTTTTTAACTAGAGAAGATACGGTATATCTTTAAATTGTAAAAGTATCTTGCAAAATAAGATCTACACATAATTCTAATATGACACGCTTCTTTTTTGCTTTGTGATAAAATTCTCAATTTTTCTGTACTTAGCGCAAACTGAGAGATGTACATATAAAATGCTTTTTCAATTTACCTCCCACATGAATCCTCAGGTATAGTAACCTATGTGCAAACACTATGTCCACTTCGCTGTGTTAAAATTGAAGGTAAAGAAAAAACTACAGAACTGTTTTTTCTTATTCTAATGCATAACAAAAAGAATTACCCGGTAATGCATTAGAGGTTGGAAAAGTGTGCAAAATTGAAATAAAATAAAATTCCACGGAATTCCATGAATGCACTTGTCGCATTAACGTCATTTTAAATCATGACGTCATACGAATGAAAACTCAAGCTGAAGATATTCCCTTACGAGTATGCTCCGAATTCGGATAATATTGCATTAAAATTGGAGTTTTGAGGTAGGTGTTGTTTCATTGCATATCATATTGCACTATTTGCACACTTATAGATTTAGCAAGTCAACATGGCAGCTCACTCTTTAGTTACGACATATCAACTGTATATTTGACGGTTAATAGTAGACAACGAAAAAAAACAAAATGTAGGGTTTAGAATTAGAAGGATTAAACACATTTTTTCTAGAGGTTTTTGTTGAGCCTGTGACATTTGTGTCGAGAAAGCAAAACATAGCGATCCTAGATTCTGTCTTGGGCGTTGGCGGTGTCAACATTTAGGTTCAGTCTGTGGTTAAAGTTTTTTTGACATCAATAACTTTGTCAAACCTTCATGGAATTTTGGACAGAAGCTTGTTTATGACCAAAATACAGTATCCAGAGCAAAATTTTGAAAATATTTATTTTCATTTTTCCGTATTTTACTGATAAATGGACGCTTGCTGTTCGGTGTGAGCCAAGGCTCCGTGTTGAAGGCCGTACTTTGACCTATAGTGGTTTACTTTTATAAATTTTGACTTGGATGGAGAGTTGTCTCATTGGCCCTCATACCACATCTTCTTATATCTATTAGTTTTTTTTACAAATAAACATTCAGATTCAGTCTGAGGTTAAAGTTTTTCAGTCATCAATAACTTTGTCAAACCATCAAGGAATTTTATGAAATTTGGACAGAAGTTTGTTTATGACCAAAACAGGGTATCCAGAACAAAATTTTGAAAATATTTATTTTCAGTTTTTTTCTGTATTTTACTGATAAATGGACTTAGGTTTTTCTATAGTTACCAAGTTGATACAGTCTGGGGTTAAAGTTTATTACAAGTCAATTACTTTGTCAAAGCTTCATAGAATTTTATGAAACTTTGACAGAAGCTTTTTTATGATTAAGAGGTAATGTCTGAGGCAAACTTTTGACAATATATTTTTTTTCTTTTTCATGATAGATAGACTTAGTTTTTTACAGTTAACATTTACAGACAGTCTGGGATTAAATTTTTTTTGACATGATAGATTTGTAAACCTTCATCGATTGTTATGAAACTTGAACAGAAGCTAATCTTCAATAACAAGAAACAGCATCTAGAGAAAATTTAAAATTTCTGTATTTTACTGATAAATGGACTCACTTTTTAAAGTCAATATTACACTTTTACACTAACAGTAGCAATAGCAGGCGAGACCCCGTACAATTTTTTTATGAAATAATTTATGCAAGCCATACATTTATTGGAAATGTTTAGCTTTATCTTACAGTGGGTTACCCGGGTAATATAGAACAGCCACACACACAGCACACTTATTTTCTCCTCAGTTTTTATACGACCGCAAAAAATTTTTGTGGTCGTATATTGGTATGACGTTGGCGTCGTCGGCGTCGTCGTCGTCGGCGTCCGGCGTCGTCCGAAGACACATTGGTTTTCGCACTCTAACTTTAGTTTAAGTGAATGGATCTCTATGAAATTTTACCACAAGGTTCAATACCACAAAAGGAAGGTTGGGATTGGTTTTGGGGGTTATGGTACCAACAGTAAAGGAATTAGGGGCCAAAAATAAGCATTTTTGTAACTTCCAGACATAACTTGTGTGTAAGTGTATGGATCTCTCTGACATTGTACCACAAGGTTCCATATCACAAAAGGAATGCTGGGATTGATTTTGGGGGTAATTGCCTCAAAATCTTAGGAATTAGGGGCCAAAAAAGGGGCAAAAAACAAGCATTTTTCTAGTTTCATGACAATAACTTGTGTGTAAGTGTATGGATCTTTCTGAAATTTTACTACAAGGTTCCATATCACAAAGGGAAAGCTGGAATTGAGTTTGGGGGTAATTGCCGAAACATTTAGGAATTGGGGGCCAAAAAGGGGCAAAAATAAGCATTTTTCTAGTTTCCAGACAATAACTTGTGTTCAAGTGTATGGATCTCTCTGAAATTGTACTGCAAGGTACCATACCACAAAGGGAAGGCTGGGATTGATGATGGGGGTAATTGCCTCAAAATTTTAGGAATTAGGGGCCAAAAAGGGGCAAAAAACAAGCATTTTTCTAGTTTCAGGACAATAACTTGTGTGTAAGTGTATGGATCTTTCTGAAATTGTACTACAAGGTTCCATATCACAAAGGGAAAGCTGGGTTTGAGTTTGGGGGTAATTGCCCTAAACGTTTAGGAATTTGGGGCCAAAAAGGGGCCAAAAAACACATTTTTCTAGTTTCCAGACAATAACTTGTGTTCAAGTGTATGGATCTCTCTGAAATTGTACTGCAAGGTACCATACCACAAAGGGAAGGCTGGGATTGAGTTTGGGGGTGATGATTCATAAGGGGGTTCAAAAAATTTGGGGGGGGGATTTTTTTTTTTTCCTTTTTTTTTTCTTTTAAAATTTTCCATTTTAAGTTGGTTATTTCTGATTTATATTTAAAAGCAAATAATAATGATATGGTAGGAGATACACACCAAACAGGATGTGTAAATTATTATATAATAAGTAATTTGCAATAGCAAGAAATTTTCAATTGCACAGTATTGCACAATAGCAAGAAATCTTCAATTGCACAGTATTGCGCAATAGCAAGAAATCTTCAATTGCACAGTATTGCGCAATAGCAAGAAATATCCAATAGCACAATATTGCGCAATAGCAAGAAATTGTCAATTGTACAGTATTGCGCAATAGCAAGAAATATTTAATTGCACAGTA